AAAGTTCCATTACCTTGTTACGCAGGTCTTTTGACAGTTCTTTTATGCTCCATGGCTCAGTATCTAGCCTGCTCAGTGCATCCACATGAGAGCTAACAAACACATTAACTATTTATACACAGACACTAAATGAAATTAAAAAAAACACAGGTGAAAAAACTACTTTTAATTGCCATTTTAACCTGTGGCGGTCACCTTATGTGTCTGTAACAAAGCCAAATATTCAAGGGTATGTAAACTTTTCACCTAGGATTTCTGTTATCTATATGATTTAAAAAGGAGGCAAACAACTATGTAATAATAGATGACTTCATATGATCACTATCCTTCAATAAAATACTTTTTTTTGCATGATCAGTCATTTTTTCAAAATGAATGCCAAGATTTCTGCCAGGGTATGCAAACTTTTGAGCACAAGTGTAGATAGATAGATTATAGAGATATAAATATATATATATATATATATATATATATATATATATTTATATATATATATATATATATATATACATATACAGGGAGTGCAGAATTATTAGGCAAATGAGTATTTTGACCACATCATCCTCTTTATGCATGTTGTCTTACTCCAAGCTGTATAGGCTCGAAAGCCTACTACCAATTAAGCATATTAGGTGATGTGCATCTCTGTAATGAGAAGGGGTGTGGTCTAATGACATCAACACCCTATATCAGGTGTGCATAATTATTAGGCAACTTCCTTTCCTTTGGCAAAATGGGTCAAAAGAAGGACTTGACAGGCTCAGAAAAGTCAAAAATAGTGAGATATCTTGCAGAGGGATGCAGCACTCTTAAAATTGCAAAGCTTCTGAAGCGTGATCATCGAACAATCAAGCGTTTCATTCAAAATAGTCAACAGGGTCGCAAGAAGCGTGTGGAAAAACCAAGGCGCAAAATAACCGCCCATGAACTGAGAAAAGTCAAGCGTGCAGCTGCCACGATGCCACTTGCCACCAGTTTGGCCATATTTCAGAGCTGCAACATCACTGAGTGCCCAAAAGCACAAGGTGTGCAATACTCAGAGACATGGCCAAGGTAAGAAAGGCTGAAAGACGACCACCACTGAACAAGACACACAAGCTGAAACGTCAAGACTGGGCCAAGAAATATCTCAAGACTGATTTTTCTAAGGTTTTATGGACTGATGAAATGAGAGTGAGTCTTGATGGGCCAGATGGATGGGCCCGTGGCTGGATTGGTAAAGGGCAGAGAGCTCCAGTCCGACTCAGACGCCAGCAAGGTGGAGGTGGAGTACTGGTTTGGGCTGGTATCATCAAAGATGAGCTTGTGGGGCCTTTTCGGGTTGAGGATGGAGTCAAGCTCAACTCCCAGTCCTACTGCCAGTTCCTGGAAGACACCTTCTTCAAGCAGTGGTACAGGAAGAAGTCTGCATCCTTCAAGAAAAACATGATTTTCATGCAGGACAATGCTCCATCACACGCGTCCAAGTACTCCACAGCGTGGCTGGCAAGAAAGGGTATAAAAGAAGAAAATCTAATGACATGGCCTCCTTGTTCACCTGATCTGCACCCCATTGAGAACCTGTGGTCCATCATCAAATGTGAGATTTACAAGGAGGGAAAACAGTACACCTCTCTGAACAGTGTCTGGGAGGCTGTGGTTGCTGCTGCACGCAATGTTGATGGTGAACAGATCAAAACACTGACAGAATCCATGGATGGCAGGCTTTTGAGTGTCCTTGCAAAGAAATGTGGCTATATTGGTCACTGATTTGTTTTTGTTTTGTTTTTGAATGTTAGAAATGTATATTTGTGAATGTTGAGATGTTATATTGGTTTCACTGGTAATAATAAATAATTGAAATGGGTATATATTTGTTTTTTGTTAAGTTGCCTAATAATTATGCACAGTAATAGTCACCTGCACACACAGATATCCCCCTAACATAGCTAAAACTAAAAACAAACTAAAAACTACTTCCAAAAATATTCAGCTTTGATATTAATGAGTTTTTTGGGTTCATTGAGAACATGGTTGTTGTTCAATAATAAAATTAATCCTCAAAAATACAACTTGCCTAATAATTCTGCACTCCCTGTATATATATGAAACAAGAGGAGATTGGCTGCACTCACCTGAACATGCATAAATGGGGGTGCTGCTGGGGGCCAAATAATACAATACACAAGATCCAGAGCACTCACCTATCCACTAAACAGCAACTTCAATGTTGAAAGATTTTATTTGTTTTTTTAAAAACACATAACCTAGGCAAAAATAATGGGGGTTTAGTTACATTATATGATCATACATTGCATAAGCCTGCCACAAGGTCAATGTACCCCATCTTTGGCAGGTCCTACACTAATCTTGTGTATTATATATATATATATATATCTTGTGTATTGTATATATATATACATATATATATATATATAATTCACTATAATAAAAAAAAAGAAAACAATAACGTAAAGATCTTTTGGACACGCCATACTACGTGTAACGGAGCTTCCTGTACCCCGGTTGGGTACCTCCGCCGATGGACGCTCCTAGTGCTCACCGAGGACTTCAAGCACTCCACCAGACACCATCAGCACCGCAGTCCCCATTTTCCAGCATTACAGCTTGGCTGGGAACTCGCCATCTCCTACCCACCCTGGACCTATGACAAGGCTCCAGGTTCCAGTGGGTAAACCTCTCTTCCTCCAGAGAGTCAAGCAGGAACAGCTCTTAAAAGAGCTTAGTGATTATAATCCCTGGGGAGTATAGGGATATAGCAGTCCCCAGGGTAGATGCAGCCTTTTCCCCCACACATGATATAAGACTCTATGTTGAGGGTAAAACAGGAATTCAGCTTAAATGGGGCACACTGGCCTTTTATACAAGTTTCCCAACAAGGTTGACGCCCAGGTGGACTTTGCTGGGCACAGGACACAAAGTAGACAAGCCAATTAAAACCATGTAACAATGAACAACACTGTGAAATAATTAAGCCAGATAATGCATTAACTTAATTATCCACAGGCAGAAAAAAACACACATTTTTACAAAGTACCGATCTGGATGAACAACATATCGAAAACTCACCAAGACCGGTTCAGGGGTTCAGGAATTTCCTGGAAGTCATAGTTTTGACCGACCGTGCACATGTTCCTATACCCAAAAATGTTCCAGGGAATTAGGGCCAACAGTCGATCTCTCTTTATGGAGTATAAAAGTACTTACAATACATGGATGGAGCCTTTTAAAGTGTATTGAGCAAGGTATATTGCAGGGCCCATTGTCACAGGGTAAGAGGCAAGCAAAAAGGCCCCTCCAAAAACCAGTGGTGCGGTCACTTTTGCCACACTAAGTTTTAATTGAACATAATTGATTAAGAATATAATAATCACATAACAGATTCTTGAAAAGAGCTGTGCAGTTATTGTTCTTCATAGACTTAAATGGAGGGACATGCAATAATAATGACATAATGTGATGAGGCCCAGAGAATACTCTGGGGAGGAATTGTTCAATGTTCTTGGGGGAATGACAATGTACTTGCAGGAAATATCTGACGCACAGGTCGCCCTTCACGTGAATTTGTTCTACAGGAATTTATATTCAATGGATTGAACCTATTTTCCTTTAATGGCCTCTAAGAACCTTCTACAGGAATACTGATAAATGAAGATCATCATTCATTCACTGCTCTATTGTTTTAGTATTGATTGGAAGACGCAAAGGAGATATTCTTAGACAGGTGCCTTATGATGGTTATTTGTACTTCTGGCCAGCAGAGAATTCTTTTATGTTTCATCTGCTTCGTTATTGGGCATTCTCTTGAGATAAATGTCTGATAGCTAAGAGTCTTTTCAAAGACAGTTCCACAAATTCTATTAAACAAAGAGAGAATTGTACAGGAAACTTACACCAAACATCCTGAACACTGATTTCACTGTTACATTTTTATTGTTTTTCCTAAATTACGACTTGTCTTTATACATTGTTTAAAATTCAAAGTGATGATTTAAAATATCATTTAATTGGATTTAGTTTCAATCCCAGATTTAGTCAATGTTGCACCAGATGAGTTTGTGTGATAAGATATACCCAATAGGTCAGAATGAGCGTTCCCTGATTGGAGGAGCCTCTTCTCGGTGAGCATGAGGTCTTTCTGAAGCAGCATTTAATTGTATAAGGTATATGTAAATTTATTTTTATTATTTTTATTCATTATTTAATAATACAATAGGCAGCCATTTTTACCCTACTGATTTAATTTAATTGGATTGTATGTCCCTGTAAGAGCACATAGTTTTGTTTAATGCATATGTCCATTAAAATAATAATGTACTGGGGGGCGGGGTGGAGAGACGTGTTCTGCACGAGCTCCTTCAAAAGCCTGGTATTAAAAGCTTACTACAGCCTGCACAAGCAAGACTTCTGATGGCATCACCTACCCACCTGATCCTTACACATATAGATATGCAGTGGGGTGTTAGGCGACCTGAACAAAGCTTTCTAAATGCTAGTTGGGCCGTGCGACCTGGTGCTCATTTGGCGGGAGAGGCAGCCGCTCTCCCGACTTGGCAGTGCCCAGGGAATGTTGGCGAGTCACACAAGCCCTGTAACCCCCCCTTGGACTGGTGGGGGTGATCCCGGTCCACACGAAGGAGGCTACCCTAAAACTATGGGAGTGTGAGGTGGAACACCTCGGGAAGAGAGTTGGTTCGGTGAATCACCTAAAATGGAGGACACAGCACATGTCCATTGTCCGACAGATGAAAACATTGATATCCTGGCAAAACTGGACAAACTATTTGATGCCTACTGGCACAAAATGGAACACAGGCAGTACCAACTTGCCCCACCGCAGAAGAGCGATATCTCACTCAGAAGCCCCCTCTATGCAACTGTCCAAAAGCTTTGCCATCACTTGCTCAGCAGACCCCAAAATGGCTTTGCAGTGCCTATGATGCAACACGGATACAGGCACGATACCAGCCCGTGGCTGAAACCGGCGATGATCCTGAGGAGCCCTGGAGAATCCTGATCCTGATGCTCACATGCATCAATCTGCCTACCGAGTCTGGAGTCTTGCGGTGATCCTCTCTGCAGTGGGACCTTGTTCAGGCCCTGGAGGGCATAGGATGATTTGTCTCATCGACTGGATGATGCACAGTACATGGTCACCCACCTTCCAATCTATGTCTAACTAGCAGGAGATACTCTTTATGTTATGTGGTTTCACCCACTATCTTATTCCCAACTATCAATGTGTTTCTTTTCTCTCCTCACACAGCTCCTTTTCTTTTTTCTTACCATTGTTGTGGGAGCCTTTGGGTTAATTACTCAGACATGTGCATTAATGGTTTGTTTACGCATGCAGACCTGGTCTGTGTAAAATATCTTATTTATAATAATGTTTACCTAACCTGGCTACTCTATTATAGTGAATTCATGTATGCCTAGCTAGTTATCTCTGCCATGACAATGAATGTTGCTGACTTGCTAGCTCCTGCTGTTGTTGTGTTGCAAGCCTGTGTGTAACCATCAGCACGACAAAAATAAAGAATTTAAAAAAACAATAAATAAATTAAAAAAATAAAAAGAATATAGTGTCCTTTTCCAACATGTAAGAATTTTATACTCTAGATTAAAATGTAAGAAGTGCTTTGACATGCATTTTTATCAAGTATATTTAAATCACTCTCTTCATATCTCAGTACGTTTGTAATCTGATAAATAAATGTGTATTAAACGTTATGTACTAAGATGGCCCTTTAATTAGTCAAAACGAGACAGCATAATTCCAATATAAATTTACATTGGGAAGAACACACAGGGAAATCTTATTATGCAAATTGGTGTTTAAAGATTCAAAAGCTCCTTAGATTTTTAAGTTGGTGCTTTGCTTTCACTTCCAATAAATATTGCCATCATAACTTCAATTATACATTTCCAGGCACTTAAGAATGTATTGCAAACTGGAAACAGTTTTCAGATAAAACGGTCCTATAAACTATATTTATTTTGATGAAATAAAAATAAACTAATAAATAAATGACAGCTTAACCTTTTATATATTTGATAACATGATATTCTCTTGAATATATATGTACTCTGTGTTTATTTGTAATAAAGTTGTCTTTGATTTAAATGTAGTAATAAATCAATAAATAATATAAAACATGTTCACAAATATTTGGAAAGTCTGTTCAACCATGCAAAAGTTCAAAAAGGAACATAGTCCCTACATTTACCTGCAAAATCCACAGACTCTGAATCAAGCCAGCAAGCTTCCAGGTGTGTTTACAGGTGCAGACCTACCTATTGTGAAGGTATCAAGCCATTAAAGCTCAAAATTATAGGTAAAAAAACACATCTTTAGAGACCAATTATATCATCCTTAATGTGAAGAAGTAAAGATGTAGTACTGAGTGATTATAGCCATTCGTTATTCTGTATTCGTACGAATAGACAGAAATGCATATTTTCGTACGAAAATCCATTCGGCTGAAATAAAAGAGCTCCATTGATGGAATGTTTTAAGGATCTCTGTTATCCCAGTGGAAGATATATTGCAATCTTCCAACAAGAAGCCATGTCTCCAGATGTTTGTCATCAAGTGACCTCCAACATCAGACTTAGACTCAGGAAAAGGCATAATATGGATTACTGGATCATACTCTGAGATGTCCTCCATGATCTCCACTAATTATCAATGTAAAGCTCACTGTGGAAGACTATACGTGAAAGTATTTATGAATTTAAGGTTGATGAGATTGAATAAGTATGCTTACATTACAGTGATTTTAACATTTGTTTCTTCAAGGGTCACTGTAGGCACTATAAAAATGTAATGTTAAATTTAAAGCAATTTGACACTGAATGAGTGTCCCTGGCCACCCACCATTCAACCCCTGCTGGTGGTTTGGCTAACAAAGAGATTACAAACTTCCTTCTTGTCATACCAATTCATATCAGCAATAGGCAATTTGACAGGCTGAAATTGGCCAGTTGACATTCTCAACCAATCACGGTCATGCATTACTGCTCAGGCTAATGCTTCCTCACTGCCCAGAGCAGCACAGAGAGTGGATGGGTGGATGGCGCCAGGGGACTACAGACACTATAGTCACTTCAATGAGATCAGGGACGAATTTAGGCCTTTAGGTGCACTGTCTGAAAAATCTTCATAGCGTCCCTAAAAAGTGCTAAGCCTTCATTACATAGATGTTGTTCATTTATGAAATTTGTGGACGTATTATGCATATGCACATGTGAATTAATACATGCGTAAATATTATAGTCATAATGTTACATATATTAATAATACACACATATTAATATCTTTTTAGTGTGTGTGTGTGTACCGGCTGTAGTGAGTGTGTGTAGAGGCTGTCGTGTGCATGTGTGTAGGGGATAGAAATGTTTTGTGTTGGGGAGGGGATAACATAAGGCTTTAAAGAAGGGGATGGAAAAGCTATTTTATGGGTTTTTATTAATAAGTTTAATTTTTATGAAACTATTTTAAATGTATGTGCAGACCAGCCAAAATGCAATCTCTCCACTACCATAAGGTACCGCATGCCCTAGTTGTTGCAAGCTGTGTCGGCTACCTAGTGTCCCTGATATCATAGTACATGGTGCGGCTGCGCAGTTCGTACACCCCTAAGGCCGTCCGAGAAATGAGATGCAGCAGTTACAGTGTCCTTTTAATTTTTCTATGACAATATACAATACAAACCTGGTAGTTAGCAAAGCGTGCAGCCACGCAGCTGATAAAGTTATATGACTATTCGGAAGTTATCTGAATGATGGAGGTGAGCTTACATCTGCAGAGAAGTTTGAAAATGAATGCATTTATAAGTAATTGTGCACAAGGACACAGTGTCGAATAACCTACCTGCGCCATAACCTTTGCAATGAGCAGAACTTGTGGCACTTTATAATTGGCACTTAGAGTGTCCCTTTTAATACAGCAGTGTGGCTTGTGTAATGTATATAATATTAGACATAACTGACTGTGAGTGGAGAATACTAAACATGCTGTAATATCTATGCATGTAAGCTGACACTAATTAGGCATTGCAAAGTCTTCTAACACTTTGACAAGTAAAAGTGCAATTTGATTATTCAGTGAGGAAGACAAAACAGGATAACAAATGGTTTAAAATGAACATATGTTCACTGATATGACTATCAAGATAATAAAACTTTGTGCAATTCAATATGGAATAATGGATATAAATATCCTCATTATTAATGTAAAATATTATATATGGAAGGATTGGCTTGTAGTTGTGGGAGGGGATTGATTTTCCTACTTAAGGATCACCAGACCTCTCCCCAATTCCGTTATTGGTATGGCGATTTGCATACCTGGACTTCCGGCCGCAGCAGATCGCCATTTGCTTACCTTACCGCGTGGATACTCTTACCTGCTCCTACAGAGTCTGCCAGTTCTTGTTACGAGAGCTTTTCAGCTGTCCCCACTCCTCCGGTCTCCATCGCTAACTATCCTGGATCTCCTATAACTGTGAGTTATGTCGACCTCCGCGACACTGTCGTGGGCGCACAGCGGCATCACGTGCTGACTCTATACTTATACTTACCTCTAATTTGTATGCATTTCGTGAGGTAGTTCATTCATATTCATACGAACATACGGTTCTGTTGTCAATCTGAGAGTACTGCATGTTTAATGTATTTTTTTATTAAGATGCTTTATTCTGTTTAAATTTAGGTTAAGCAAGCACATTGTTTGTCGATTTTACTTTCTGCATTTTTAGATATGTTATAACAAGATGGTGTCTGTTATAGGTTGTCGGGTTTGACCTTTTCATCTGGCTGTTCCTCTGAGGATTTTTCAAGTTTCATAGGTTCAGTTTGGCTCAGTTCTTTGATCCACTCACCTTAGGTGGGTCTTTTTTACTTCTGATATTTAGGAATCATTTTGGCTTTATTAGAGGTTTCTGATGTATGTTGTATTATATTACAGATTGAAGGCAATCATCACCTAATTTTTCGATTCTCTACGATTCACAATGGTTAGTGGTTTTAGATTTGTCTTTGGGTCCACGATCTGACCCTTACAGCCAAGATAATCTAATATGTTTAATTTCTATGTCATTAGGTGCTAGGTCCCGCTAGTTCAATGACCACTTACGCTTTTTTTCTGATTCATTTTAGGCCATGTCATAGGCTGGTTGGTATCCCAAATAATTTAGTTTTTTCTGCTATGATCGCAGTCACAATTTTGGTACTACAACATTGCTATTACTCTCACAGGTCTTGCTCGGGTTCTACTACTCCGTGCTACTCTATATCCATCAGATACGACAGGTAGGTGAATCCAGAGGTCATTACACCTCCCTCCCCTCTCCCACCTGCAACTGGTGCTAGGGTGATATTTTCTCTACTGGCTCATAGGTTTCAGAGTCTGCTTATGTAGATTTTCAGGCCTTCATACCTTAACTTAGTGGTCCAGTGAGGCCAACACCCATCCTCATACTCGGAGTTACTCACGCCCAGTGCCCAACTCATAGTTAGTCGCTTCACATGGTGGCATAGAGAGGGCCTCACTTGTCACTCCCATGCTATCTTATGCTTTATTGGTCACTGAGAAGCCGACACCCCGCCACATCATTCGGTGGCCACAAAATCCCCTTAGGCCAACACATAGCTAGAGCCTCTCCTGACGCTTGGCAATTAGTAGGGCTCCCCTCTCTAATGTTAGATAATTTCTTTGCCACTTGGCGGTATAATCACCTAGGTGACTTATATATATTTATCCTATCCTAGCATGTCTGAACTGCCAGAAGATATCGAGGATTTGTTTATCCCCAGCACCCCTGCAAGGTCTCTCACTCCATCTCAAGGAAAGGAAACACCAGCCCAACTTCCCTCAGGTCTTGGACCATCCCTAGGGTTACGGCTGAATTAAGGTGTAGGAACATACCCTACTCCTTTACTCTGTGGTGTGAGGATATTTATGGGGTGATAAATATTAAAAATAATATTTTCTTTAAAATGATCAAAAATGAATTGTATAATTGATTCCCCGATTATATTAATTTAAAGCTGAGAATTACCCACTATTTTAATTCTCATAGATCCTGGAGAAAGTTTAATTAGAGGATTTTTAATTCACACATTAATCACAAATTAATTATAAAAATATAATTTATTGTGACAATAATAATAATAATATGTATCATGCGTGATAATAATCAGTGAATACTTAGGTATAACATAAGTATACA